AAAGTCGCGAAGATTTATATTATATATACAGCTCTATATGTACATAATATCAATTTGTTTAATAACATTATATTATTATTCATGTACTTAGTGTTCAATTCTTGAACATTACTATACTACATATAGATTATTAATAGACGTAAATAAATGACAAATAAATATCAAAATACATTGTGTAAATATTGTGAAAAATGTTTATCAGATTTGCATCACGACATAATCCTCTTATAATCATGACAACATTAAATGAGTTTTTAATTCATCGATTGATTAATCGCATAATGCGAAAATGCTGTTTTTATAGAGCAAAGTTGTATTTGCGCATAATGCGATTTATTAATCGATGAATTAAAAACGCCTATTTTGGACACCTTACAGGTCTGTTCTTTTTGGCTGGAAATAGTTCATCTTTCTTCTTTTTCTTTTCCCATTAGAGAGAAAAGGAAAAAAAGATAAACTGTGCAAATTCAGCTGAAAAGAACAGACTTAATGGAAATGATCAAAACATGGCGGCGCATACACATCTGTGAGTCATATTCGGCTATGCTTGTTAAGCAATCTAATATTTTATAGAAGTCTATGCCTATATATTATAACTCGTGGTTCCAAAACCCATTCAAGCCACGCATCTTTGCCGTTCCCACGTTCCCAGTTGTCCCAGCGACGATTGTAGAACGGACTACGTTGGAATACATTTTGACACGTTGCATTTTGTTGCATTTATACCGGGTAAAAACATCGGGAGGAAACAGATTAAGATATAATTTTATCTTATAAAGTATATTATATAATAAATCATTATTTCAACTTAATCTTTACTGTGTAAGGTTTAATTTATCACAAATCTATTACATTTTATGATTAAAATCTGTATTTTTTGTATATTAATATGCAACTGTATATTGCTATGTATATTAATATGCCGATAACTCTGTGTATCAGCATGACACTATGATTGAAATTATGATTTAATAATCAAAATGTTTTTTTTTGTAGGATTTCCAAAGTTGTACATCTTGTTAAATAATTGCATCAATCAATATGTCATCGCTAGGTAAGTTGCATCAGTTTGATGTAATAAGACAGATGAAAATAATAACTGCAACTGCAGAGAATGATAAGAAGAATATGAATTAGAATCTTATATATTATATATGGTGTAGCATTAACGATATAATTAAATAATGTGACTAGGTTATAAAGGCATAATTAATTTAAATTTATATATATTAAATATATAATATCCTTATGAATATATATATATTTTTTTTCATAAGGATATATATTTAATAAATATACATATAACATACATATGAATATAAAAATATTTATTATATAAAATATAATAAATATTTTAGAAGATATCTATACATCAGAAAAGAATGGCAGTGATGAGACAGGAGATGGTTCAGAGAGCAACCCATTTAAAACTATTCTGAGAGCGATGCGTCATGCCAATAAGGAACCCTTTCCTATCATCTATCAAGACTCTCGTGAAAATGATAAAAAATATGAACCTGCATCTAAATCTCAGTTAAAAAAGATACAAAAGATCTGGGTTAGAGAAAAATACAAAAATGAGGAAAAGGAAAAGAAACTGGTTGAGGATGAAGAAAAAAGATTGAAAAATCTTGAAGAGGCTAAGACAATTGTTATTGAAGAAGACAAATTTCTACCAGGAGCAAAGGAGATTAAGATAAAACAAGCTTTCAATTATAGAGATCAAAGAATAAAATTGTATGGATGGGTGCATAGGCTAAGACGACAAGGTATGCGATATGAATAGATTTGTTTTAATCATGATAATTCATTAAGTAATTTCTTCATAGGCAAATCCCTTATGTTCATTACATTGCGAGATGGAACAGGTTTTCTGCAGTGTGTATTGACCGATAAACTTTGTCAAACATATGATGCCTTAACTCTTGCTACAGAAGCTGCTGTTCAATTGTTTGGCACTTTGAAAGTTGTCCCTAAAGGAAAAAGTGTATGTTTAATCTAATTAATATATTATATAGAAATCATTTATGTCTTATGCATATAAATAATATATACTTAGGTGTTATTACATGACTTCAGGCACCTGGAGGACATGAATTGTGTGTTGATTATTGGAAACTTATTGGGTCATCACCTCCTGGTGGCGCTGATTCCATTTTGAACGAAGAAGCTCTTCCTGATGTACAATTGGACAACAGGCATATAATGATTCGAGGTGAAAATGTAAGATAGGAAAAATTTTAATACTTTTAGAGAGTTTTTAATATATAATTTTCGTTAAATTTAATTTCTTAATTATTTTACAATTAAATAGTTATAATATTAATTTCAGACATCAAGAATTTTAATTATGAGATCTATATTAACGCAAGCCTTCAGAGATCATTATAAAGATCGTGGTTATTGCGAGGTAAATCCACCAACTTTAGTGCAAACTCAAGTGGAAGGTGGTTCAACTCTCTTCAAATTAAATTATTTCGGGTAAGCATAAATAAATGAGACATAATCGAACAAATTGTTAAGTGTGTTATCAATTAATCTTGTTAATGTTCGTTTTAGAGAAGAAGCTTTTCTAACTCAGAGTTCTCAGTTGTATCTTGAGACGTGCCTTCCAGCAATGGGAGATGTGTATTGCATTGCCCAATCATATCGGGCAGAGCAATCAAGAACACGTCGCCACCTTGCCGAGTTTGTATATAAATTTTTTTGCACTAAAAACTTTTATGACCTACTTTTTATGACAACTATTGAATTGAATTTTAGATACACGCACATTGAGGCAGAATGTGCATTTATTACATTTGATGACTTACTTGATCGGCTAGAGGATTTAATTTGCGACGTAGTTGAGCGAGTTCTACAATCGCCACTTGGGCATCTTGTCAAAGAATTGAATCCCAACTTTCAAATGCCCAAGAGGCCCTTCAAGCGAATGAACTATAGCGATGCGATTGAATATCTGAGAGAAAACAATATCACAAAAGAAGACGGTAGTTTTTATGAATTTGGAGAAGTATGAACACGTTCTTTTGGTCTTTACTCTTGTTTTAATAAAAAATATAATCCTTATCCTTTTAGGATATCCCAGAAATGCCAGAAAGGAAAATGACTGATGCTATCAACGAGCCGATAATGCTTTGTCGGTTTCCCGTTGAAATTAAATCGTTTTACATGCAACGATGTCCGGAGGATGAACGTTTAACCGAGTCCGTCGATATACTTTTGCCAAACGTGGGCGAAATCGTCGGCGGTTCGATGCGTATCTGGGATTACGAAGAGATGTTGAAGGGTTACAAACGCGAAAACATCGATCCAACTCCGTACTACTGGTACACAGACCAGGTATGAATAAAAAATGAAGAAATATAAAGAAATTAAGTTCTTATATAATTGAAATAGTATTGAGATAGATCTCGCATAATTACACAAGAATCTTTACAGCGAAAATACGGATCTTGTCCTCATGGTGGTTACGGATTGGGATTGGAACGATTTTTATGCTGGCTGTTAAACAGATATCATATACGCGAGGTATGTTTGTATCCACGTTTTCTGGAGCGTTGTCGACCATAAAAGATTCCATTGTATGTAAGCTTTATGTTACATTAGTAGAGACATGTTCTGCTTTACTCTTATGATAAACTATGGCATTGCATTATATTCAGAGCGATGTAATATATTAATTACTACAAAAAAATTATAGAAAACCATTAAATAAATATGATCAGACGTGTTCTGAGTATTCTCCATTATTCTCCGTCTTTATGCAAAATATGTTTTGTATGACCTTAACAATGCTATAATATTTGTATAATGAGTAATATGCATATATATTGTCAAAAACTGGATATTTATGATACTTATAATTTGCACATATTTATTGTATAATCGAGTATACAATGTCATTGACTGCGTACACAATAGTTGAAAATAAGAATTCACATAAAGTACTACATAATCATATGCAATGTATAAATACTGACTTTATGTAGCTTTTTTATATAGAAAGTTCTTTTCGTGATATTCCATAATAGGAAGATGCTTAAAATTATTAGGCGATTAATATAAATTATTTATTCTTTTTATATTACTTTTTATATGGTAAACATTTTGTATAATTTCAAAATAAAGTGCAAAAGACTAACAAGTATCTTTATAAGTGCATTATATGTGTAAATCAAAAGCAGATTGACTATACACATGTATGTATATGAACTGATAAGTGTCATTCAACAAGTGCATTTAACAAAAATAAATCTTTCGTTATAGCTTATAATGTATAGTATATATACTTTATATATACTTTATAACAGAAATCATACTATACTTGCAACAATTACTTGCGGAAAACTCCTAAAACTCGTAGCGACGGAAACAATACTAATTAAAAATCTTTCATGGCGTTACACATCTTCAAACAAATTCGCATTAAACGGTGTTCAATCACAATTCACGTGATATTTACAAAACTGGATATGAGGAAAATACATTTATCTAGATATCTGTGCGGTTAATTAAAACAAGTTTGAATGATTTGAAAAAAAATTCTTTTGTTCATCGCAAAATAATATATGTTTACACCATTTAATATCTATGTTATTGCAATGATGTATATATTTGCGATAAGATAAATACAGCAGTAAATATTATAGCGTCGCGATTATCTGTCATCAGATGATTATATTACACATTTCGAGATAAAGAGAGATAGAAAGAAGGCAATACAGTTTATCAGAAGGCAATACAGATTTCAAACTCTGTATTTTGCTCATTATCCAAAATTGCCCGTCATGTTTTACATACCGAATATACTGTATTATATTTATATGTATATGCAAATGTCACATTGCAGAGTAGCGATGGCAAAAAAGCATCGAAGAGAAATACCTTGAATATATAAGACGTTCGAACTAATTTTTATCGAACTATATTACAGAAGAATAACTTACATTGCACACACTGTTTCTATTTCAACAAATACTACAGGGAAATCGCAGTTTTTCAGTAACGCAAAGTAATATTTCGTTTATACTATGGTCAATAACCGCTATGAAAATCGGCTAAATCGTCTTTAAATTATCCGCCGCTAAACAGTAGAATTCATCAACTGATCTTTATAAATACATATATTACATATTAAAATATGAAGGTACGCGAAGATTGTTACACATCATTTATCGAATCGTTTAATATTACTTTCATGTGAGAAAGGAATGATCATTTAATATTAGTGTATGCCGTTCTGTACGAAATCCACTTTAAGGAAAATACAGTGCCGTTCTCGCAGCCTTCTCGGCGCTACAGTTATTTATGTGTCGTTTCGTAGTTCTGTTTTTCTTTTTCCTTTCTTTTCTTTAGATCGGGGGAAACACTTTGGGACATTATCTAAGATTACAGCTTTGCTATGTTTAGACTATAAGAGCTTCAGTTTTGGACAACAACAACAATATTCGTGCGGAATTCACTACTTCATGTAATAAAGTAGTAGTTTTTCTCTCGATGAAACGATATATAATATATTTATAAATGTAACACCCGATATATTAGCTTGTTACAACACACTAGCCATGCAAAGAGATACCGTACCGTCCGCACGGTTCGTATGTAAAAGTAGTGGATATATCGTACAACAGCAATCAATTAGTCGCGTGAATATTCTTCAACGATTCGCCTTTTATAATTGTGTGTGTATTTATATATTAATCAATAAATATCGGCTCTTTCGCGTGATTATACTTACACGGTATTCACTTCTTTTTTTCATCAACTTCTTTTTAATCCTAATAAAGCGTTTGTATTACACAATCGCGTTCTGGCAGTTGACGGACTTTCATCGAACCATCTGCTCCACACGAAAACAATCGACCTGCGGAATCCACGTGTAACTGGGTAACGCCCTGGTAACAATAAATTGTAACATTAGATCTCCATGTCATACGGATCAGTAATGGTAATATTGCAGTACCTGTCCTATGTTTTTGAAGAAACTAGATCGTGGATGCTCGCTGGGAAACGAGTAGAGGAGAGAATGGACGGTCAAACCCCATATCTGTGGACAAGATGTTCGCTTATTACCACATATGAACAGAGACATATGTGATCCTTCATCGAGAAATCATAATTTGAAGATGTAATGACTTGCTTTACCTTGATATCACCATCACCTGCCCCGCTAACGAAAAATTCCTCGTGCGGATCGAGCGCTAGACACTTGATAGCTGACTCATGCGCCTGGAATCTCTGCCTTTGTTGCCGTTGTCGCACGTCGAATATATTAATGTCGCCTTTCTTGCCGCCGCTAATAAGCAGCTGATGTTGCGGTGCCAGGATCAATGCGCTGGCTCCTTGCTCGTGACACATGAAACCTAACGAAATGCAATTATAAAATTACAGTAAGGATACTAGAAAGAATCCTATTATTTGTCAATAAATTAATTTTATATGCATCATATTATTCATACCTTGTACGAGAGATTTGTTTTGTGGAAGTAATGTGTCCCACAACGCTACATTTCGTCCTTCCGAGCCATGACCCGCGGTGGCCACAAGACTGCATGCGCCGAGGAAGACGAAATCCGAGGTCACTTTGCTGTGACACTGATAAGTCTGAAATAAATTCAAGTGTTGATAGCGAATGGACATAGTTCGAGCGATACTCTCAATACGTTTCGGACAAATTATTATTTGGTTCTTACGAAGAATGGTCGAGCTGTTCCTTCTCGGCAGGCCACTTGGAACAGACTCAGATGACCATCGGAATCAGCCACGCCGAATTTGTTGCCATGTTGAGAAAATCGCACGCGGGTCACTTTGGCGAAAGTACCAGGTGCTCTTGGAGTAGCGACTGCTGTCTGATGTCCCCATTCCCATAATGACACAGAACCATCCTGTGATCCGGTTAAGTCTGGTATGTCACATGAAAAAAATATCAAATAAGTTAATTCAAGTTATTTTAAAACTCTCCTGAAATTTTAGTGTGATTGTAAAGAAAGAACTCTTGCAATTATTAGGATAATAAGTATACTCACATAGTGGTAAAAGCGGATGGGAAGAGATTCTCCTGATTCCATCGATTTTATGCTTCAGAATCTGTCAGAATAAAATGGACGGTCGATTGAATTTCGGGGGGAAAGAGATTCAGAGACAAAAATATATACATTTATATATAATATTCCAGAGCAGAATTAAATGTAACTTCATGAACATATTCGGCAATATTAAGGTAATAACGGGCACTCTGGGTGTTATGTTAAAAATAGGTTTAATATAATAGAGTTGCATATAATATAAACATGTAGCATGCGTTTCGAACGTTGCAGCGAGTTTCCAGCTAAGGCGATTTGCAACTAGTATTCGGCTGAAAAACTGTTTTTCGACTCAGCTAGCTTGCGAAATTAGCTGTTCTAATGTTTATTTCTACGATTAGCGTTTTGTATGCGAATGTTGAATATGGACATGTACACGAATGTGGGTTCGTATTGTGTAACGAAATATAATGACACCTTCTACGCATCCAAGTTTCATGATGATTCTTGTACTGAGAAAATATAAAAAGCGTGATATAGAAAACTGTATACATTGTATGTGAAAAAAAGGAAGAAATATTTATAATCAATCGAAAAATTTGGATAGTACGTGCATTAGATATTCACATTCCAATCATGTTCATTTAATAAACGTTCAACGTAATACTTGTGATAGAAAGTATTAAGTTGCAATATTTTTAATAAGTAATAAGAAATGGGCTTCATTCGAACACCATAAATAACATCTAGAGGAGCAGATGAAACACCATATTTGCCAATTGAATATACACTGGTTTTTGAGTATACTCCTTTTTTATGAAACCTTCATATCGTTATTAATTGTTATTATATTGATAACGTAAGCAAAGAAAAATACAAATCAATGTATTGTGCATGTTGCTATGAACTTTTAGATAAAATGATAATGACTAGATAGTTCTAAAAATAGATCTTACGGTTGAAGATGTAAGATCCCAGTTGAAATTGAAGATATATCTGACTTGTAATATGCACGAAGAATTAAAAAATACGCAATAATCAACAATTTTTATTTTTTAGATTTAGATTTTTTAGATTTTGAATCTTCGTAATAAAATTGCAAGTTATGAACTTACGAATCTTCCATATATTACAAATCAGATACCTGCTTGTGTTACCCAAAGAAAGTTAAACATGAAATTTGCACTAGAATAGACTAGGGTCTGTTAGATGTAAGTCTCACCGGCTTTAACAAGTGTTTGCTCCTATCGGCAACAAATTGACAGAAACGCAGGTCGTGGGAGCCAGGAAAAGCAGGCATCCCCTTCATCTGAGCGAGCGAATGAGCCGCCAGTTCAGTGACGCAGACCAAGTTAGATGTTAGGCAAGCATTGAACAAGCAACATTGTCTCCGTCACCACTTGTGCTACCCTAACCGAGTACATCACATTCGGCACGGTTTTGCAAGGCTTGTTTCGCAATGTTTTTTGTTTTGATGTCTCACTCAAAAAATGATATATAACAAAATTGCCAAAATTTAAATGTTTCTGTTAATTCTTAAGAGATCTCTAAGAGAATTTTTCATCGAACACAAACAAGAAATTTTTTCAGTTTTAAATAAATACAAATATGATAAATTTGTTTTTAAGTTTATCATGTGAAACGAACAAGCCTTGAATTCAACCGTATCCTAATACGTGAGACAGTGCACACTTTGGCTCTACTATATATATATATATATATATATATATATATATATATCATGCAATGAACGATTTATTTATAGTTATAGTTCTTTTGTTGTTAGTGCAAAATATTGTTTCTACACTCGCGTTATTCTGACCATCAATGTATTAGTGTTGCCTAATAATATTATTATCTTTTCATCTTTGTGTCAAAGATGAAATAAGGATATTATTACAATAGACACGCTGTTTAGATGAAGAGATGTTAAATAGACAAATATACAATATAATGCAGGAACTTAGTACACACACAATGATTCTTAGAATATCCTGGATGGATAATACGTTTCCTACTTAAATTGACATTCACGAATAAATTTTGTTAAAAATTCCTGTTATTTTGCTAAAACTCTTGCGGATACTTGCAAGCGGTTAATTTTTATATTAATCTTATATTAATCTATATTCCAGATATTTCCTGTTATAATAAATTAAGCTACATAATTTGATTAATCTCATTAGATATCTCTTGCGTAATAAAGTGATTGCACGTCTTTTACACTCACACACACGCATACACATACATACATACGCATATTAAAACAATGTATAGTGAGATTTACAATTACACTCAAAACAAAAATAAATTCACTCATTCTAAGAAATAATAATGAATCTAATATAAAGAGGGAAAGTGAAATGCATCTTTTATCTTTCTTAGCCTTAAAATAAACTTAGCATTCAGAGGTGATATATCAATATTAAATGTAGCACAAATATATAGATAAGAAATTAAAAAAAAGAGAAATAAAATAAAATTTAATTTTTACATAAATTAATTATTTTGAATTATATTTGCAAGATTCGAATTATTTATAAGATATTTGTTTTAATTTACTTTATGTCTAGAGATTATATCACAATCTCTTTCAACATGTTTCATTAATTTATGTGATTTTTTGTTATTTATTACATAAATTACAATATAATTAACTCACCACGCTCGCGCCACGTCCACTCTGACTGGCTATACCTGAGTGAGGTTGAGGACTATTTTGCTGAGGACTCTGCGCCAACAAAGGACGATCTGCCGCTGTCTGCAAATAATATGTATAAAACACGCAGTTTGTTATTATGTAAATAATGTAAAAATATTATAAATCGCACCTGTATAACTAAGAAACTGGTTGGAGGTACAGGTTCTGGGTCAGGTTGCTTATTCAAATTGATAATATCGAATTCGCATTCATCTTCTAACCATGACGGAAGTTCTAGGAGCAGAGAAATATTCATCTCTTGTACTTCCCGAGGTGTAGCAAGCGCCATTAAACCTGGGTTTACCTATACAATCATCAATCATATCATATTGCTGTTATAATAAATAAAATATTATATTCGAGGCAATTCATTCGAAAATTTCCTTAGAAAATATTATTATAGTTGGAAAAAAAGTTAAAAATACCTGATTAAGGCAGAAGGCACTGATGCTATCTTGTTCTTTATGAATGATTCTGACTGGCTCTGGCAGGCTTGTGGTACCACTATCGCTACCTTTATCTTCTCCAGTTCCACGGTGTACATTGTCAACGATTGTGATTGATTGACTTTCGAGTATCGTCGACAGGGATCTTCGTTTCCCAAATACTGCACGAATAAAAATATCCTGTACCAATTCCTGTCTGACCAAGTAACACCATAGACGATTGGTAGGCGCTGCGGATGCTAATCGCGTGCTGTAATAACATGTAGAAATAGTACAGAAATAACATTTCTTTCATCTCAAATTTTAATTAATAGCAAAATAATTCTTCACAAAATAATTCTCACTTAAATGGTGTATTTCCTTTTTCCAATAACGATCGATATTTATGAATAGCTGGTTTTCCAGGCGTAGGAGAAGGATCTGGCGCACAGCCAGGTATATAATTTGCTGGCGGTGGACCTTTAAGTTCTAATTCTTCGCGTAAAGATTCCTGCCATTGCGCAACGATGCCTAGTGTACCATGGATTAGTGGACTACTTACAGGTAATTCTAGAATAACGAACGCATTAATTAATTTGTTGGTATCATCAATATATATTATACACTTATTATTATTTCTAAGATAATGCATTTCATACCTTGCATTTCTATGCCAGCGATAGTCAAAAAATCTTGTAATTGTTGCTGTAATATTTTAACTATTGCTAATCTCATTACGCTCCAACTATAGGAATTAGAGTTACTATGCTCCGTATTATCCTTTGGTTTGCTCTTTGGCTTTGAACCCGTGTCGAATACATCTTCTTCATCGTCTGTAGAATCTAAGTCAGATACTGCGGAATCGGAAGAATCATAATCAATTTCATCTGCATATTCAGTCTCTATGCGTGGCTAAAAAAATATATAAATTAGTTATAGTACAATAGATGGAGATGTGAACAATGTGAATGAAATTTCTTCATATTTATTCTCAATATCTATACCTTCATGAGAAAGTAAGAAATCATGCTCATTTGCGGTGAAACAAATTGTTCTCTATATGTAGGCTTATCCTCCTTCATATTTGGTTGTTGACCCGTAAATTGTCCCAATAATTTCATATTCAGTTTGACACGTTGTTTAGTCAATGATGTCATGGTGTTCCACATGCCACTGGCGGTACTTTGAATTTCACTCGTTACACTATCAGTCCGTTCGACGCTGTTCACATTACCGCCCTGATAAAGAAACGCGCAAATAAAAAAAGCAATATTCACAAAATATGGAATATTAAAAATTAATTGTACCTGGCTACTAGTGGTACTCGCTACGCGCAATAGTTTCTTAACTCCACCGCCGAAGAGACAGGACCACGTATTGTTATCAAAATGTTGTCCCACTAGTCTGTACAAAATATGACTATCGCAACTTGACAGAGCGTAGATGAAAAGACTCATATACGTCGCCACAAAAGCCTCGCAAAGTAAAATATTCAACTTCGGAGTGTCTTCATCTTTTTCCCGAGCTAGCAACGCGCGCAAATTTGTTACACCTGGCCACTTGGAAGGTGAGGTAGTTATACATACACCATCATCCGTCGAATATCGTCGATGATATCTGTTCGAGGCTACCAAATGACCACCAGAAAACGTTTCCACTTCAGCGACTGCCGGAAAACTGAAAGATGTTCAATGGTAATATACATATGATATTTCGATCAAGGACACTCTGTAATAATTAATAGATTTAATTGATATATGAATATCATGACTCACCTCTCTGGCTGGTGATGTTTCATAACAAATGTGTCCGAATCGCAAAGTGACTGATAAATACAGGCACTAAGCGCCACCGCTAAATCTCTCATGATAAATACCTCGCAATAATGCGTATTTCTGTTAGGCATCGGTGGATTACGTAGTTCTACTAACGTTTGTAGCATATCGTGTGCGAGAGACTACAAAAAACAATATTACATATGAAATGATTAATATGAAAGAGACAAAAGAAAATTAATACAGATTATAACAAACCTGCAGATGTCGAACTGGATCAGCCACAACAGTCTTATTGCATGCGACACTGGCGCTTAATAGAGGTAGGGTAGTGGGGAAAGGAAGAGGACTCAGCAATTGTTGTTGAGTCTTTTCCTGTTGCAATTCCTGCAGCAAAAGTACCAACTCCATTCTTACTGACGCTAGGCCGCCACCCGACGCGCCATGCAACGAACAATATGATAACAATGTCCTCAGCAATGTCTCGTTAGCTAAAAATCACGATATATTAATATATCAATTCTGTTTTTGTAGACTTTTGTCTTGTAGAAGCTAAAATACTGAATTAATGAAAAGTTTGTTAAATATTGTAGTTTTTTGCAACATTTAATTAAATAACATCGAGATAAAATTAACGCAATCAACCTTTTAGCCATTTCTTCCTTTTCGCAGCTCTCTGTACTTTAGCCTCAAAATCCAATTTTTCCGCCACCAATATTTGGTGCAACGTTGGCTGCTCTCCAGGCTTGTGCGGTGGTACATCATCAACCATACCGCCTTCATCTATAAATTAATTTTTATTAATATTAGACATTTAATATTACGATTAATATTACGCGCGCGCTATTTATTTTTTTTAACAGAACGAACACAGAAAATTAATATAACAATATTAAACTATTAATATTTTGATATATACAATCAAAGTGCAAGATTATCGTGATGACAGTTGCTTATGAAGTGTAACGAAAAAACCAATTGTATCACGGAAAAGAAGCAACAATAAGATAGATTCGATAGATTCAATATTTTCGAGTTTTAATGTTAATATTTTTTTTTTAAAAGAGTCATTATCAATTTTTATAAATTAACATTTGAAAAATTATTGCTATATTACTCATACATAAAGTAAAAAGAAATTTACATTCTGTTACGTTGTTCACGTCTCCGTCTGCATTAGTACTATAGCTGCAAAGTTGCCGTAGTGCGTCTACTTCTCGTTCCAACCACACATAAAGCTGATATCGCAGCTGACCTCCGTCCACTTCAAAACCTGTTGCTAATGTAGATAGTTCTTCCATTAAAATTTTTAAGCAGGCCACAAATTTTAATTGTTGCGCCATGATGTCCAATTGTCCAGCTGATTTTGCCATATCTTCAAAAATATCCAATCATTTTTTTTATTAACAATATGCATAATTATAACAGAATTAATCTAATTAAAAAGAAGATAAATCTTACTATTATCATTTTCTGATTTCTGCACGGTATCCTGCTCTTTCTTGTCAAGTTTCATACTCATGGGAGGACTATCGGCATCTTCACCTTCCCCTGTCTCATCATCGTCCCAGTTTAATTCTAATTTATCCTCTTCCATGCGTTTACTACTCTGAGACCAATCGAATGACGATGTACTCCAATCTGCAGCTGTTTCTAAAAGTGATATTTAACTCATTCAAACTTTTTAATTTACAGAGTTCATTTTATTTAAAATATGATTACACACACACATACACACACGCGCGCGCGCGCGCGCGCACACACACATACACACACACACACACACACACGCGCGCGCGCGCGCGCGCGCGCGATTTTTACAAACCTTTATTATTGTTTATTGCATTTGATTCATTTCCCCAATTAATGATACCGGTATCTATCTGAGCATCTTTAGCTCTCGACTTATTTGGACTGTTCAATAAACCTATTAAAATAAAATATAGATAAAAATATTTCCGATATAAGATAAGATTTAGATTGTCAATCAGTATATAAATATATATATTACTTGGGGAATCGTCACCATTTGTTTCCATAACTTTGTTAGGTAATTTAGATAAAACTTCAAGAGCTAGGGCTGGACAGCCAGCTTTAAAGTGTGCGTGCGCTGTTGTAAAATATAGTTGCCTTTCTAATGGTGTAATGGAATCCTCTAATAATAAGTGTTTATCCAATTGACTCTTCGTCTCTGTGCCGTAACTGAATCCCGAAATCACTACAGAATGTCCTTGCTTGTCTTGCGCAGTGGACGCGATATATTGTCTGATTAACAACGGATGCGTACGAAGATAAACGTAAAAGTTGAAGACGTTTGGATTCGCTAAAACAGAAAATTAAGAATAAAATATTATTTCAACAATTACGTAAAGTACAAAATCGATATTACGTAAAGTACAAGATCGATATTATGTACCTGTTGTTCCTTCTGGCTTATCAGATTCATCGTTATACTGCGGATGCATGTGACCGACATTGGTCAAAAGCAAAGTATTGAGAGAGCCAGAGTAATCTTTCAAAATCCATAGGGCCATGCTACGCAAGAAGGGATCAGGGTGCACTTTGCCCATATCCTGATTCTGTCCGTCTTTATCGTAACCTAGGATTTCTTCGTACAACAATCTTCTCATATTAGGAGACGACGTATCATTCTCGTAGAGCCTGGCTATCACCATTGCGAGTTGGATGTCGTTCAGCTTATTTAAGCATACGTCGATGGCATCTTTCAATGCGCCGGCAAGTAAAAAGAATGCGGCCGCATGTTCGAATCGTTGCTTCCCAAGTAGAGCAAAAGCATTTTTCAGAGCCGCTTTCCTCCACCGATTCTCAGCAAAATTATTAGAGAAGAAGGTAGTCATACGTTCGTCCCGTTTATTCCTAAACAGACCCCATACCAGATTCTTCTTTTTCATCGCCAAATAATATACAGCCGCATCTAACGGATCTTGCTTGTCCTGGAAAGCAGCTTTCGCTATTTTCTCCACGCACTTCTTCAATACTGTGTTGCTCCTGATCCACCAACCTACGCCGAGCTCTTTTAATACGGACCACTTTGGTTGACCTTTGGCATAAGATGGAATTAATCCCAGCAATTCCTCCTCAGATTCGGAATGGAATGCCCAGACAAGATTATTCGACGCGACACCCTGTTTCTGGAACTGCGCTCGTTGCGCTAACGGTAAACAGCGTATCAAATAATTGTAATGTTTCATTGCTAAGAGGAATCTGAGGCCGCAATCGTCTAGCGAATCGGTGGATACGGTTTCACCATCCGGAATGCCGGTTAGATTTTCCTTGGCAATCGCGTTCTTCGCCGCATCGATCGCGAATCTTTCAGCGAAATCGACATTACACGTCGACACGGTATCTGCCAGGGCGAGTAGATGCATCTGATCGAGACTGGAGAGACCCGGAAGATGAGTGTGAGTTAAGAGACGTGACCAGCCAGTCTGCCTTGCCTGGGGCCGAAGTGAGAAATCCCTTGTCTCTCTGGCACAGACGATCGTCTATCTTTCTGTCGCGAACACTCATAATCCTCGTCCAGCATGTCGTCCAAGGAATCTCCTTCGTCGAGGTTGCTATCAAATAGCTCGTTATAATCATGCTTATCTTCATTCTGCTGATGCGGCAAATTCGTTTCTTTGTCGGCCATCAGTAGGGTCCATAACGGGAGCGGAGAGATGGATGTAATTTCCGCATAATCTAGCGTCAATTCCTCCGGAATTTGTGTGGTCGAACCTCTCGGTTCCAGCGGTGACGTTGTGCCCATATAACTTACCGACATTGTTCTCGATCGCGACCAACCGCCACGCTGCTTCACCAGACTTTCGTCATCAGCTCGTAAGGAGCAAGAGCTACCTATACACCGGACGAGGTGCGCCAATATAGCCTTTACCCATCTGATCTTGCCCGAGTTTAATAACTCCATCAACTGCTTAGGGTGATACTGTGGTAAAACTGGACAGGCTATCCTTGACGCTTCGAACAATCCGTAATCCGGCATATAATCGAAGCTCAGGTTCTCGTTTTGTATACCGCGCTTTTTCTTGGCGTCCAACATCGTTAGATTGATACTGCTGACGCGCGACAGATGTGGCATAGAAGACACGTTTGCCAACCGCCTTTGAGACGTCTCATGCGCCAATGTGCGTAAATCCTCGTCGCGAAGATTTCGACTCGCTTGGAACTCGTCGGACTCTTGATGTTGAAGATTCGAATGGAAGCAGTCGTTCTTTGGATTTGGCTTCCACTGCGAGTACACGTGCATTTCGGAATCCATGCCGACTACCAAGATACCATCTCGCACCCAAGATATCTGCATAGGCAGTGGCGGCAGGCCGTCCGCTGTTGTCAGTTCTATCTTGCGTAGTTTCATCCATCGGATCTCGTCGACGAACTGCGGTTGAGCCAACGATGAAGTCTTTCTCAGTATCGGCCTGTTATTGCTTTGCGATTCTTTCATTGCTTTCATATTAGCCTGTGCTAGATCTGAACACACTGGCGTGAACAACATGATTTTAGAGCCGACGCCCACGGTTAGAATATGCGAACCATCTTCTTTAGATACCCAATCGAGCTGCACCAGATGTTTTTGTGTGAGCGGGCACGTGTTACCGTTCTCTATAATTGATTTCCGCAAAGACTGCAGAGTACTAAACGATGGTACTGCCAACAAGCCGGCCTTTGTGGAATCACCATTCTCTCCATTTCTTGAGGATCTTATATCCTCATGACTGAGAGTCTGCAATACTTGAGTGAGCCGTTGCTTCTTCTGCAGAAATCTACTGTCGTACAAATAGCTGAGATCCAGATGCTGGTCTACCGGTATTCGCGGTAGATGAATATTCTTCAGATGAATCGTGTCTTCTAAAATCCATTCGCTGCCGCCTGTGCTTTCGCATTCATATATAGCCACGCAAAGATTCACATAGCGCGAATCCGGATCGTTTTTCGTCGGACGCGTAAACGATTTTCCATATTTGTAGGCGCAGGCGATGCGTCCGCTATAAGCCGCGCTTATGTTTAATGGCTGGCCAGTAATATCGATAGTGGACTCCTGATCCTTCCTAGTCATTTCCCATTCGCACCATTCATAGTCCAATTTATCGTCCGTTCTCTTTGTCACTTTGCATTTCCAAAAGCGTACAGTGCTATCGCTGCACGCTGTCACAATAATATATGGTGCAAAACAGGCGGGATATATCGAGGAGCTACTCAAATGTCCCGCGGCAGGAGCAGCGTGGATCACTTCTACCCCATCGGGCAACGGCAATTCCTGCGTGCAGACTTTCGTGGTGGTGATAAGAACGTGACTGTTCTGATGGCGGCGAGGTAGGAATGTCGAGTCTAGGTCGGCTTGACTCTCACGACGACTTCGCCCACCAGTTTGACTAGCTCTACGCGATCGTCTGCCTTCCGCGTGGCTCAATCTACCGGGTGTTCCTTCGTCATCTTCGTCTTGTACTAAATGAGAATCTGGCACATACATCATCGATCCTGACAGACCGGTAGTTTCTGGTTGCGATGCTATTACCAATCGCCACATATGCACAGTGGTGCCCTGCTGTGTACGTTCGAGAACCACTATGTAAAACGGTTCTTCAAAGATTGCCGATTGCTGTAAATCCACCATGGCATCCAACGTGGACTCCATGAGTCCCAGATCATTGGCCGATGTATCGATACCAGGCTGCTTTTCGTCGCTTCTCTCGCCCGTGATCAATTGTTCCTGGAAGACGTGGAGAAATTGTGTGTTTTGCCAATCGTGAGTGGCGTCGGAAATAGCATCAAGTTGTATAACGCATCCCGGTCTTGCGGTCGATTGCTGAGATACAATCTTTATTCTGTCGTGAATGGAATGTCTGATGCCATCGTCTGATGACATATCTGTTGACAGACTAGCCATGGAATCCATCATCCTGCTTCTTCTCTCGCTAATTGATACTTCCGCCAATAATGTTCTGGCATCGATGACAGCTTGATAGACCCTTAGACACTCTCCGTCGCTAGCTACAAAACAAGCACTAGGAGAGTTGGACAAATTACCTAATGTTGTGCTTGGCAATAACGTTGGTATCCAGGCTACATTACTAAACGCTGATATTTCAGGCGAATTGATACGTGCCAATTCGGAAACTCCACCGCTTTTAGATAGAGGCCCCACAGCATCTACGCGCCACAATATTAATTCGCTGCAAAAACCAGTGGGTGACATGATGTCCTTGTCCTTGCAAGTATCGTGCTTGGTAGCAAGATTTTCATTAGATTCCATCGATTGAGTACCAGAAAATTCGGGTATATTATGATGGGAAGTCGTTACAAGTAAAGGTAAGACGGGATGGCAAGTGATATCGTTCACACGGAAGCGATGCCCGGAAGCTCTACATGCGTGTCCTATGCTCAACACCTGCGAAAATTTCGTTTTATCCGCAAATGTTAATTGCCATAAATTCAAAGTACCGTTTGAGTGCTTTGACACCATAGAAACGATCGGACTGGGATGAGCCAAGAGATCTGCATCTTGTCCATTTTTGTTATTTTCCAAGGCGTTAACTTCGGTTTTCGTTTGATTTTGATCGTTGGTGTTTTCCATATTTTTCAATAGTTCTTGACCTGCTTTCGAGGTCAAGGTAGATTGTTCTTCATCTTGTTCGATAAGACTGGGTAAAGGTGTCGCGACTTCACTAGGATCGCTTGTTTTTGTCGAAGATTTTGCAACTTCACGAATATTCAATAAGGGCCCACCGGTATTGTGAGAGTACATTGATACATTATGACTCATTGTCGATGCGTCGCCGAGTGGGAATGCGTTCGGAATACGAGTGGAAAATGAAATTTGTGCCTGTCGGAAAGATCCAGGATGGTATTCATCCAACCATTCAATGTGCCAAATCAAAAAGCTTCCGTCTATCGGATGTATCGAGAATAACAAGTCTGGATTGTGATGCCAATCACGTAGTAGTGTTTCTATCTTCGTGTCCAATGAATCTGGCGCGTGATTCATTGTGGATGTTGCATCCGTCGCTATAGAATTGATGGAGGTTGTATTGCTGTAACATATATTTAGAATTTTATATGACAATGCTGATAAAATATTAAAGGAAAATAGATTTTAACAACTCACCTAAGACTGGGATGAGAATGCACGCTGTGAGCTAAACTGTGATGAGATGAGGTAGTATGCGCAGTATGGTGTTCATCACTACTGTGATCTTCTTGACTCATTGATCGGCCGCCGACAATTGGTTTCTGAGCTGTTTGCAGCCGAACTCCTTTCTCTAAAAGAAACATCATTATTAGTAACTTTTTTTTTAACAATTTTCAACATACATGATAGAATCATTCAAATGCATACTTGGTGTACATTCATCTTCAGAATCATGTTCCACATGTTCGGCATGTTCTTGATGTTGCAAGCCTTCCTCTTTTTCTACTACTTTCCGAGTCAACTCCTGTAATATGTTTTCAGCTTGCATGGTGAAGTGCATTTCTTTGTTATTTAGCCAGTGTAAGATAAAGTTCGGTTCTCTTTCGGGGTCTCCGGTAATTAGGCTTGGTACTAATGGTATATCTATAACATGAACGTATACTATCCACTGACGATTACCAATATTTCAGTAATATTAAAAAAAATATATGTAATAACATAAAAAAAACATATAAAAATCAAATAAGAATAAAAAATTCTACTTTGTGTATTGCATAATAAACGTTAATATTATACCAGTTTCTGCATTAATACTGGCTGCCAAATGGAAATGCATCCCTGGGTAATGACCAGAAGTTTGATAGTTATTATGAAAATCATGTACGGAATATGTAGATGGAAGCGTTGGTAAAGTCGGTGCCGTATGACCAGCTTGATGTTGCTGTTTAGCATGTCGTCGAATATGAAAACATGTCCTGTAAAACAGAAGTTTTACATACTATTTTACCAAAATTTCGATAAACATACAAAAAAAATAGAAAAATAGAATTTTTCTTCATTTTAAAATAAGAAAATAACAAATATTATATTCTTCATACTTCATATGTTTGAGTCGTTGCATAAATCGATGTTTGTGCATATTATGATGACGATGTTTGCCATGATGACCGTGCCTGTCAGAGCCTTCAAATTGACTCATATTAGCTAAACCTTCGATTTCAGGCGGTATCGTTTCTGCCCATACTCGACAAATATTATCGCGACATGAAGTAACCAACATATTGGATACAGAGCCTCTAATTTGTGACAAAAAAAAACAGTCCATTAATCGTATTTATTACGTATGTATGCGATTATTATCTTTCTATTACATAAATGTTTAATTCATAATTTAATGAAATTACACATTTCAATTCTATAGAAAAGAATATTTTTAGAAGAAAATTATTTCACTATATTGTTCACACAAATTGCAGCAATTTTCATTTGATTTCCGTTGTTGGTTTACTTACTTTGGCATGTATTTACTTGTTTTGCGCCAAGAAAGGTGCGTTACGGCACGTGGGTGTGCAACATAAACAAAACTATAATTGTCACTACCCACGGCTTGAGAAAAACTTGTGTGATCTATGCTTCTTGCTGGAAATACTGAAAATGATGGAAAATCTTACAATAATAACTGCTCAATAAATAAATTGCTAAATATAGAAAGCTAAATAGAAAGATTATCGGTTTAACTATTCATTATAAAAATACATACATTGTTTATTTTCGAACCATATCTTAACTAATCTATCATTCATTCCTGTTGTTGCAAACAGAGTGCCATCGGGACTGAAACTCATAAGATGGACTGGTGTGGCAGTACGACATTTCCACACACAATTCCAACCGCCTGGATCATTTGCAATAGATGTGTCTCCAGGTCCAGGGCTTTCTGCTTCTCCTCCAATTGAGAATGTTACTGCACCGGCTATTAAAAAATAAATCCTTCTTTTAATAACTCAGTAAAATTGTTTTTAAACACAATAAAATGCACATATGTGAAACTCAAACAAAAGAAGCTCGATATTTATAACATCTTCATAATATAAAAGATAACATCTTAAATTATATTTACTTATGTAATAAAACTAATTCAGTTATCTAAAACATGTAATAATTTTGTAACTATAACTATAATAATGTATACTGTAATATTGTGCAATAGCAAAATATATAAATTAAGATGTTCAAAATGGTAAGCTTAAAAATTAAGTAAGCATCTGTTTAAATTATATTAAAATTAAACTATTTATCTGTTTACAAGTATTATATATAAATAACAATGACAAAATCAAAATTTTAATCGTTACAATACATCAGTTATAGGAAGATTTTATTAAGCTCATTCAAGCATTCATTTCGATTCTCAATTTGAATAAAATATGCAAATGTAATTGCCTTTTGTAATAAATTATAAGTGCAGTGCATTAGCAAAGCAGTGATATGCTAACATGCAGATAACAAATGTTCATTCTCAAAAGGAATGAACTCACGATCCTGAGAAGTATTTGCCGTAACATTATGATTGTTTCCAGTCATGCTGGCTTCTTCTGTTTGTAATGTTTTCGGCTTTGTAGTTGTAGGTAATATCGCTGTATCAAGTAAAATTTAACAATGTCAATCCTAACATTTTGAAATCTAAATAAAATGTATTAAATAAGACAAGAACATGTATCTTATCATTACATATAATTATGCAAGTGAACCTCTAACCATAGAACATTGATATACTTTTAGTAGAATGAGCAAATATCTTATTATTCCACAAGAATCATTTAAAATATAGATTTCGTTAAACAAGAAACAAAACTTACTATGTTCTTCTTGAAACGGCATGATGTTTTGATGCCATAACTGCAACAATTCGCCGCCCGTTAGCAATCTTGTTCCTTCTAAATTCCATGATAAAGATGTGATATTCGATTCTGTTTGCAGACTTCCTGTTTGAACCCATCTATATTCCAATTGCTGTGACAGAACAAACGGGAAAGATTTAAATGTATTCTTAAATATACATTTAAAAACATAAAATAAAAAGATATTGATACAAACATGTGAACAAGTGCTGTGTATAAGTGGCGTTGGCTCAAAAATGCAGACTTGATTTTCATAAGCTGCGGCTATCTTTCCTGTATCTGTGCTACAGTCCAGACAGCTGATCCTAATGTAATTGTGTACTGCTCCGGGAATTATTTGAACTCGTTCGAAATTATTAGCCAAAATCACAATATTGCAACCAGCTGCATACGCCTGAATGAAATACACAAATCATAATTCACTAAATATTTTCAATTTCATTTTTAAACAGTTTTTATAGATTACTCTAGATTTTTAATCTCAACTTTAATTTTATTCTCTAATACAATATATTATCAGTTTATACGTTTTTCTTGATAAAGATACAATATATTATCAGTTTAAGTGCTTTCATTGATAAAGTAAAGTTTTTTTTAATTACAATTATAGAGGGAAATATCGGTAAGAAAGATCAATATTCTAATTCGCAATGCGTAAACGTTCTTAAAATATCATTCAGAATGATAAAAAGTATATATATTAATATGTTTTCTTCGTCTATCGAGGAAAACCATGATCTCACGGATATGGACGTCCCACGCTCGCACGCCTAATCAAAGTGTCATTCGATCAGCTGACTTCCATGATGCGTGAATGCGTGTCGACTTTTGCGACCGCGATTGCGTACGCGAAAAATTCCGCTGACGGATTTCCGTATCGGCCGCGAGGCTGGCCGATCGCCAAGGACGCATCGCGTCGCGCCGTATCGGCGCGCGACCGTTAACAGCAGGGCGATCTTTGTTACGGGGGGGGATGCAACTTACCGTGAAGGATATTCCCTCGACGGAGCCAACGGCGTAGCAGCGATCGCCCGCGTTGCAGGCGCCGCTCAGTATCTGATGACAATTCATGGTATCGCACGCGTCGCACCACACGCGAGAGACGTTAGATCATCGTCCAGACCAGGCGCGAGATCCGTCGCTCCTGTACGACGGCTTGGTGCCGAGAGCTCGGTAGTAGTCGGACGGACGAACGGCGTCGACGTCGACGTCGACGTACAGGCGCCGCACGGTCCGGGCCTCGTCGGGCTGGCACTGCGATGGACGCGTCACGCGCCTCAGATTGACGCGACACGATGATCGTGCGGCCGCGGCGCGGCCATCTTTAAAGCGACGTCCACACAGGCGACATCGTCGCGCCCCGTCGTCACCACGGACCACGGCGGCAGTGCGGATGGTTGACTGTGCGACCGACCACCGGAGGCGGCTTCCGGAGCGCACGCATGCACGAACGATCGCCGCTGCTGCTCGTCGACGGCCCTCCCCTCGTCCCACTCGCATCCCCCTCTCCTACCTCGCATGCGCGCGCGCGCGTATTGCGAATCGCGCGAATATCGATGCCGGGAGGCGCCGACGACTTTAAGACGGCTCTCACATCGTAAGTCGAGACGGAGAGATAGACGGGGGATGGTACGGATCGTAATGAAATCACGATCTTTTAGAGATGGAAGACGCCGAGAGGATAAATCAACGTTCGAAAGGATTTTAGAAAAATGGACTTTTCATAAATTCTCGTAATATCTCGAACAAATATCGATGATAATCGATCAAATCAAATAATTTATTCTTTTTATAGATATTTAATATATTGAACTAATAAAGTTTACGGGTGACTCTTCGATTAAATTCTCGATAACTTAATTCTCGGCGATTAATTGAATCGACAGCCGCTGTAAAATTTCCAGCTATACAATTTCTTGTCCCTAATCTAATTCTTTTCTTACTAAACAACTAGAAATCACTTTGACCATATGCTAATAATGTGCGTCTTCCTTGTCTTAAAAAGAATGAATTTCGTTCTTTTTTCCTTTCGTTCAAACTAATAATATTGGCAATTCGGAAGATTTGATATTAATTAAATATTGGAAATTCCGAAATGCATTTTTTATATTAAATATTAACTGTAATGCGTGCAGGCACATTTACAGGCAAATACAAAATTCAATAGCTCACGATGCCGTCTCGCAAGCTTTTTTCCTCTAGATTTACTTCGTTAATAACAATGTGAAAATGTGATAAACAACTCTTGCTGCAAAACAACGATAATTAGCGACGCTGAAAGATTAACACGGAGAAAAATAGAAAAAGATTGGTCTAGTGCAGACCTCATGTAGACGTTTATCATAAAGACTCGCTTTGAACGAGACAGGTGAACAACACGTGTAACATGCATGTCGTACACGCCAGTCACGTACACAACATTTCGCACAACATTTCTACGACAAAAGGAGAAAAATGCACGTTAGCACGTTATAATCGAGCGGTGAGGTTCTTCGGGGAAAAAATTATTCACCGTGCGATCATATCGATCCTTTGTTATTAAGCGCGTCCGTGCTATATTTAGCAATGTCTTTCCGAACCGTCTTTCCACTAAAGCCGTAGAGTAATCGAGGCACATCCGGAAGGCACATCGTCTCCTCTCCTCTCTCGAATTACATTACGAACAATCCCAAGGAAAGGAGGAATCGAATCAGCATGTGTGTGAATGCATCGTGACTCGAGGAAGGAGAAAAAGAAAAAAAAAAAGAAAGAAAAAGAAAAGATTTATTTCGCACTCGCCACGAATGAAGCGGTTGCTTATCTTACTGAACTGAACACCCGAGTATGTGCGTGTTATTAATTGCGACCAGTTGACACCAATTATAAAGCATAGCCAGCATGCCAGCCAGCACCGCGTCCCTAATAATGTAACCGAGCGGAATGCGTGAAAAATATTTCCGCAACTTGCGTTACAAGGCCTCGTACGTGCAGGCTTAATGTCATGCAAATTTTACGTGCCGCAATGGAATATTTCTATAGTCTGAATTTTTATTCTGAAATTTATGTTTCAAAGTCGTCGCTTCCATTAAAATGCAAATTCTCCATACTGTAATATTTAAAAGTAAATGTACAACTCTGATAAGCTCTTTTTCTTTCTGTGTCATTAAATTGCTCATTAAAGCGAAAAGAAAAGAAAATGAATATTTTCTTTATGAAAGTAATGCGTCTTGAAAACTCTAATAAATATTGCAAATGCATCTTAATCAATATAACAAATTTTATAATAAATTTAACATATTTTATTTAAATATTTGTAGTCTCTTACTAATATTTAATTAAATGATTAATATAATAATATAATAATACGAAATTTGTTTAACATAAAAAACTTCGTAATAATAAATTTACAATATTGATGTTTTATGATAAATTTATGTTGATTAATCTTGAACATACATATACAATATTACAAATTCATTATTACGAAATTTCTTAACTAGGTACGTCATTATTTCGGCAGAATCAACAAGTATCTCATATACATTCATACATTAGCTTTACGTGATTTTAATGCAAATTCAAAACAGAACGAAATTTTCAAAGACATTTAATATCACATTATGAGCTTTATTATCTTGTAATTGGAAAACGCATTATTACAAAACACAAAAATAATATCATACAAGATACAAATTAGCGAAGATCAAAGATTGAATTGTTTTTTCACGTACAATTATTAAAATAATAATAAGATTTATTATAAGGATTTTTGAAAATAAAAACATAAATAATTAAGAATCAACGCGGTACATAATTCTCAATGTTAAATAAATAATTATAACTTATAACACTGATACAGATTTATCTGACGTTTTGGCTTACATTTGACCTATCTTCAATCGAATAAATTATTAATTAAATCTATATTTGTGCTTCATGTTGCAATTGTTTATAATGAGAGTATTTTACTTTGTAGCGAGAGCAATATCTTAAATAAGTTGTTCAACACAATTGCACAGTCGAATGGAACACTAAAGAAATGTGTACAAATTAGTTATAAGAATATGGCAACGTTTTACAAAAAAATTCAGATTAGATACTGACTCATTATATGTATATGTTAAATAAAGACTCATCTCAGAAATCATAGCAAAATGCACAATACAATAAAAATATAATGTATCGAATATAGTCAAACAAATAAAATAGATAGAAAAGTAATAGATAGAAAAGTATTATATTGAAAGTAGTCGAGATATTAAGAATTGTGCATCATTTATCGTGTTGATTCAATAAATCTTAATTTACATTTTTTATTTTCAAAAGTTTTTATAATAAATTTTATTATTATTTTGACTATAATTATAGAATAATTATAATCATAATTTTGATTATAATTAAAAAATTTTTTAAAATTCAATTTTCGTTAATTTGTATTTGTCAATTATGCTCAATCTTTCTTTTGCAAATACGTATATATTATTTTCCAGATGTACAAAAGTACAAAAAAAATCTGACGATTGCAAACATCATTCCTTCGCAGCGTTGAAGAAAAATTTTCCTATTTCTTCCCTAATCCATTCATTTCTGAAGATTTCTGCGAACGATATTCAGCGTTCTGCGTGTGGGCGATGGAATTATGAAGTCAAATTCCACCTTGCTCCAGTCAATTGATGAAACTTGGCGTATTCGCGAGGTAAGGGCGGTAAATGTTTATGTGCATATACACGTGCATATGCTTGTTGCACGCATACACGCGCGCCCGTGTACGCGCATGTGTACACATTCGCGTAGATAAGAGAGGTATAGAAGCCAAGATATAAAAACCTAATAGCTGCATGCCCCCGACGCATGCTCCGTTTCAGGGCCTGCCCGTGGGGTGATATCCAGTCGGGTAAGAGAGTCTCGTCTGGTCCGCGTCGATCATTACCTGACGGAGCGCGGAGCCGCGTCGAGGACGCGCCGGGAAAGGAAGATGAGGATTCACCCGTTTCGTCCCGTTTCTCCTCGTCCTGTCCGGCGTCACTGCGAACACTGAGGGAACACGCCGCCGTCCCCGTATCTCACCTCGTCGGGAGGGAGTCAGGTCCATGTTCGCAAAGCGCGTCGGCGAGTCCCCTGGATCTGGTGGATTCCGTCGGAGCGACCGGCTGCTCGGCACCAGGTCCAGGCTTTTATCAGCGGTTAAATAGATAGCGACCGTCGGCTCGCCTTGGCGACCGGCCTTGGGCGACCAACTACCACGTCATCGGCATC